AAAAAATAATACATGAGAGCAGTTAATTAAAAAATAAACATTAAAAGTCCTGATAAATTCTACCACTGCAGCTACTGAGAATTTGAGATGCTGAAACAATATCTAGCTATAGGTGTATTCTCCTCATCACTCAAGGTAAATACAGACAGGTAAACACACAGGTAGTGTATCAGGGAATGACAAGTATTCCCAGAAGATGCAGGAGGCTGGAGCAATCAATACTGAATTAAAACAAACAGTATAAAAACCTCAAATCACCACATAGAGAAGGCAAATATAATGATTAAAATGTTACTGTGGTAATGGCAACAAAAGAATGTTGTTTGTCCAGCAAAAGGGGGATCTATATAGTGCCTTGTTAATATAAAGCACAAGTAATAGTATAGTATACCAAAGAAGGTTTCATATCATCTTGTCTTCATGCAGAAATTGCCCCGTGGGGATCCGGGTTAGAATAAGTCCTCAGTACCCCCTTGCTTGTCGTAAAAGGTGACTAAATGGGGCGTTCCTTCGGATGAACCGAGGCCCCGTGTCACAGCAGGTGTGGCACGATAAAGTTCCTCCCTGCTAAAAGGCCGTAAGTGCCGAGCATAGGCCTAAATTTGCAGCCCTTCACCGGCAATGGTGACGTCTCCATATCAGTGAAATATTCTGTAGAGGGACGTTAAACAGTATACAATCAATCAATCAATCAATCATACAGATATCAAAATTAAATTTCTTAGAATTAAGAGTCAATCTAGAACATACTACATGTAATTTTCAATCCTTGTGTTTTATTCAATCCAATTTATTTGGACTAAAAATTTTGTTCCCAAATTAATGAGGTAATAACTAATTAAGATAATTCAACCATAACGGGCCAGAGAATGAAGTAATTACCAAACCCAATTACCTCCAGTTTGCTTGTTGATAAGATCATCAGATTTTTTACCATTAAGACATTGTATTGATTTTCCTGTGTAACACTGTTTGTGACTAGAAAACATTGGCTTGTGGGTTTATGTGTTATAGAATCATTGACAGTTTGGTGTGATATTGATATCAATGGAGGAAGGAGGTGCGCTGATAATATGTCTACAAATAAATGTACCATGGATTGGTTTCTAAACATACAAATACCAAGGTGTGTGTACATGTATAGGAAATGGTACCAGCCTGGCAATCCTGGGGGTACTTTAGTTATAATGCCACACTTATGTACAAGCACCCAATGATATGTAAATACCTGGGCTACATCATATGAATAGGAGTTCAACAGTACTGACTGCACAATTAAGATTCAAAAGTATTTCATCCATTCCAATAATAATCTAGTATTAAGATCATATATTTATGGTGTCATTTTTTAAGGAATTAAATTATATTTAAAATTTATTTGCAATATCAAGAAAAGCTATGCCACAAAACAGCTGATCATCATAATAACCCCCTCCTCTCCTCTCTCTAGATCAAACCATATTTATATACAGTGAACCCTCGGATATCCGGACGCCAGTTATCCGGATGCCTCGGACGATTTTCACGGAACAAAATTTTTAAAAGTTATTTTGTCTTGTTTAATTCAGATATATGATCACATACGGACAAATTGATTGGGAACCAAAGTGTCCGGATAAATGAGGGTCCACTGTAGATCTCTAATCTCATTATATCAGATTTTCATTTTCCAGAGCCCCCTTACCCTAGCTCCTTCCACTCCCCTGACCTATCAAAGATCAAACTCTGATCCATTTTGAGCTCCTTCCCCTCTCCTGACCTATCAAAGATCAAACAATTTATAGATCCCTTCTGATCATTTCAGATTTTTCATTTTCGGTGTCATCAAATTACCTTGCTGGCTGCCTGCTCTCTCGTCCCTGGGCGGCGTGGAGTATCCCCCGAGTCCGCGCCCCGAGGGTCAGGATCCAGGGGAGAGCACTCCTGACCCCCTCTGGGTCTGTCCCTATGGATTCCATCCATAACAACTGCCTATCACACTGACTCCTGCCTTATGTACAGTGCATAATTCCAACATCCACAACGACTGTCAATATTATTCCATGATAAAATTCACTGATGTTCAAATTAAAAGCCAGGTATGAAAACTCTCAAATTAAAAAATTCCACATTTAAAACAGGTGTCTCAGAATCAGTTAATCTCCATAATTCTTTGAAAATTCAAAATGAAAGCAGATAAAAATGATTTTTTTTTCCTTCAAGGATGCTGCACACATCACATGCTACACAGTCAGAATTTCCTCTGCCTTGTCACTTTAGTATATCCAATTCCTCCGTCAGCATTCCTAGTTACACAAACTCCAGACACAACCACTGCCTGCCATTCCAACAGCAGAGAGCAGGCACCGAAAAACCTCGAAACACTAGAAGCCCAAGTTATGAAGCAAACCTCCGACGAATATAAAAAAAAACTGTGTTCAATTTACCGGGACATTTAACATAGTCAAAGGCATAAGACTGATTCCGTTAAGTATATAACGTGTACAAACAGAACGGGTAGATTCCATTCATAACATATATGTGTATTAAATCAATGAAGATCACACAGATACCTGAGCCATTGTCGGGATTAAATGTCAAATAAAAAAAAACCTAAACAACAATTACCAATAGAGAGAGAGATTTAAAAAGAAAAAGAGAGAGAAGTGTCTTGTAATCTATAATGGAATCACAACAACAATTAACAAGTGCTATTTAAATTGACCGAGTCGCATTCACTGTTTATTATTATCTACCTTGGTGGCAGGTCGCAACAGGTCTGGAAATCCCCTACTGGGCTATAAATAGCCTTATGAAAAAAAAATTGAATGTGACAGTATCACCCAAGAATAAATCAATACTATTTTTATTTTTTTTTTGTTATGAATGGGCAAGGGAGGGCGTTTCTATGTTAAATAAAGATATTAGATACACTGTGCATTAGTCAGATCTCCTGAAGATAAATTTATGAGGGTCATTTAAATTTTAAAGTGGTGTCACCTCCTTCATTTCACTTTCTACAGGTTTTAGCATGAACTGGAAAACCCCTAGTTATAAAAATACCGCAGAAAGGTGAAACCCATATATATCTAGGAGGCAGTAAATATTTGTATCTGTGTGTTTGATCTATCATTACGATATAACATTTGGGGCGAAGCTTAATTCCTTATAATTCCTTATTAATTTAATTTCAGTGCAGACAATGAGACAATTTCCCCCCATAATAAGGCTTCGCATTGATGATATTTTAAAAGTAACGTCAAGCAGAGTAATACGTTTTTTTTTAATTGTTAAACAATGTGCATAATTCATAATGATTTTAGGAGCAATGGCCATCTATTAAAACAGATTAATTTAATTAATCTAAGATGATTACTGAATAACCAAATTCTGTTTATCAAATTTGAATTTTTTTATGTTCCCAGCTAGTAACTGATTGATTTTTTTCATTAATCAGGGATGTAAAAAGAGAGAAAATATTTTTTAAATGTTTAAAGTTCTTCCTCTCCTGAAATACGAGTCTAATAAAATACCTGTTACAGGTAGCGAGTTCCAACAACAGGTAATAATAGGTAAACAGATTGTATCCAGTCAATAAGCTGCCACCCTTCTGCTGTTAGACCTTATCTAAAGACAACCAATAACTTCTCCCCAGGGGAGGGCCGAGCTTTCTTGATTGAAATTGACACCTGTGAGGTAATTCACAGCAATGAAAGTCTACAAAATTTATGGCACAATTTGTTTTCTTCAATTCACACAGGAGAAATAAATAAAATCAATACCAAGAGATTGAGAAATCTGTCTGGGTATTGCAATGGAGATATTACTGCTGTGTCAAGGGGAATAACTCTGCCTTCTTTATGTCTGCTACTGCATTGCTGAGACAATCCACCTCCTAAATTAAGTCTATATAGTATGTTACCTTTTTCCACTATTTACTAATTCAGTTATGCTGCATTTATCCAGTACATATTCTACTTATAGCCACATTTATCAAGTACTTTGCATAAGTTAACAATAGATCATCCAAATGTAAAGTTAAGATTTCCAAACTGGTATACTGTATACCGGTACATGGTTATTTTCTCCCCTCATTATTACCCTTTTTGGGCCAAAATATACATTCAATTTAATAAATCAATATTGTTTGGCGTGGCCATGGGCCCCTACCCCAACCTGAACCCCCCTTCCCCAAGAAAAGAATCCTGAATCTGCAACTGATCTTTGAAACATTTTTTTCCAGTTTCACTTCTAAGAGTTTCTAGTGACAATGTTAGACTAATCTGTTCATGGTTCCATTTGATTTTATTATGATCTGAGCTTGTACTGGTTAAATCATCAGAATGCAAAGATATATAATTGTTTATTTTTCATCAATAACTTTTTTAACTGTCAAAATTAAAACAGAATTAGCAATTAACACACCTAATTAGAATCATGCAACAAAATAACACCAAAACCAGCTAACTTAGAATTAATGTCAACTTAGAATAACATTTAACAAATTAACTTATCGTGCTACTGGACGGAATTAATACATTCTTACAGGTTTATATAATAACATAATTCGATCCCTTATTAGATATGTATCATATGTACATCCTATGGCCCACACAATTTGATGAAATAAATTAATAATTGAATGATGACGAGAAAAAAAACTTGAACTCAGGTACACACACTCAAATAGGGCTGTCACGGTTCCAAAATTTTTCGGGTCGGGTCGGTTCTGATTTATTTAGGTTCGGTTTCTGGTATTTCTGTTCGGGTAATTAATGGAATAAAAGCTAATGATTTGTATTATTTTCAACAACAAAAAGTATATTTTCATTTAATCCGAAATAGCAACATTTTAACAATAGACAACAATTGTACCATATTATTTAAATCACCTTATAATTGCAATGTATTAAGAAATGTCTTGTTTTTGACGCCATGTTTATAGTAAAACCTACACTACTATACAAATGACCGAATTCTGGAAAAACAGAAAAACCGAATGAAACTTCCAGGTCAACACAGGTACACACACTCAAACATTCAACATCAAAACTTCTGTGATAAGGAAATAATAAATAATCTTGAAGAAGGAGAATTTGTACAGCTTGCATTTTGAATACAAATAAAATTCACCATTAAAAGAATTAACTTTGACAATATCCAACAGCACCATTATTATGCTAATTTTACCTCTAATCTCAAAAGAGTTGATAAATAAAAGATTCTGAAATCTTATCATATTTTTATGACTTATCAACATGATATTGTATGTCACCAAGATTTATGAATACTATCATGCAAAAGGATTAATTGATCAAGACATAATAATTGTGCTTGATGAACTTAATTTACACAACTTTCTTTTCATTTGTGTAATAAACAATGATGGCATATAATAACAAGCACTTTTTTTTCTAAAACAAAAAGTACAGAATCATGAAATCATTATTGTTTATGGGTGATCTAATTAATTAAGTTCTTGTGGATATAATAGGTAGCCCTTAATTAAGATTTTTTATCCGAGTTTTGAAAATGACGTCATTCAATTTTCAGTTTGTATGAGTTACCCTTGACATCATGTTCCCACAAAAGAGTAAAATTTAGGTTGCACACAAAAATTGACCCCCCCCCCCCCCACACCACACACACACAAAAATAATGATTCCACAGTTCATATTAACTATTTCAAATAATTTAATTTCATTTTAATAAGCTGTTTCCCTTAATCATTCACAGTGTCAGAAATGCATGTACACAATTGGAATTTGTTGCAAATTTTGTGTTATCACAGTCAAACCCAAATCAGCAAAAATCTTAATGAAAATGTTTTGACATTTAAAAGGATAACAATCCAAATAACTAAAACTTTTAAAACTATTTATATACTTCTAAATCATAATTAAAATGTTTGCATAAGTTTCTTTTGATAGATATAAAATTACCTGCAACAAATATCAATATGTATACATCTGTGATTTTGGCAAGGTTGATTCAAAGAATTTGTATTTCCAACAATCTTTTAAAACTTCATGCATTTGACAAAATAGAGGACTTTCACATGCACATAGATTTTCTGAGACACAGTATCAGTCCAATGTGTATTAAATCATCTTCAACAAGCATTACTTAAGCTTTCTGCAATCATTAAACCATATTGATCAAGGATTTGATCATTAAATAAATTTTGTTGTCTGAAATTTTATTTGTAAAAGCATGCAACTGTAATTACTGAGCACTACTAACATTACAAACTTAAGAGGAATATGAAATTTGGAAAAAAGAAGAAAACCTTATGAGCATTTTGTGAAAGTCCTTTTCTCTCACCAATTTTTTTCAAACATGCATAATGTAGGCAGAGTGGATTTCTTTAACATGAGACATTCATACATTCTATTGCACACATACATAGCATTTCAATCCTTCACCAAAAGCATGCATATAAAAGACAGGCACATATTATAACATATTCTGCATATATTTTAAGTACTGCATACCACAGATTATATACATATATCATACCCCACATATATACCTTCAAGCTATGCATACAAATTTACACAGTCAACATTATACAAAGTTTCTTTGGCACATCAATATTTTATATGAGACCCTCACTCCTTTATAAAAGGCATTAACATTTAGGATATCCCTAAAACTATACATCTGTTATAAATTCTGCAATGCAGAGATAGAGATAATATAAAAACTACAAGCTGTTAATAACCTAGTGTTTCTACTGAGAGTGTAGTGATGGACTTTTTAAATATGGACTTATAGTTGTGATAGCACAAAAACAATTGACTATACACTTCTCGTCTGTGTGAATCATCAAGTCTTTTCAGTATTTTTCTGTATTTATCAAGTACACTCGTGCAGTTCAGAACGTGTCTGATTTAGGAATGTGTCACTCGTTCAAGTTTATTAAGTATCTTTCCTATGAAGATTTCTCTCCGATTCAGATCTTTGTGTTGGAGCCCAATCAGATGACGTAGCTTCCCCATGACTCAGCATCTCCAGTGAAGCTGTCCTGTCTGAGGACCCACTGCTCTGTTGCTTAGATTCTGTTGTGGACTTACTGCTTCTTGGTTGTAGATTCTGCTCAGTCCCAGTCTTTAATTTTCCTTTCAGAAATTCGATAGCATTAATGTGTTCCTTCTCCGCATCTGTCAGCATCACATGGATCCGGCCTGCCTCTCGATCTGACGACCTTGAGACATTTGCGTTGAAATGATCAGACATAGAAGATACTGGTCCACCACTGGATGACTCAGACACAGCTGGACTTTGAACCCTTGACCCTGAGGGCATGAACCTCGACCTTACAGTCGTTAACTCTGACCTCCCCCCACTCCCAAATGCCAAGATCTGGTCCTTCATCTTTAGTTCTCTTAGTAATTGATTTCTCTGAATTTCCAGCAACTCTTCTTTCTCTTGCAGTTTAGCTTCAATTTCTAAGAAGTCCATCTCTAGTAATCGCTTCTGTCTCATCAGTTCTTTCTCAATTAAATTCTTGTGATAAATAATATCCTCAAGTTTCCTCTGATACCCTATCTGCCTTTGTAATTCCATTTTCTTCTCACTGAGTTCTTTTTCTATACTTTCTCTTTCACTTAGTTTCACTTTCAGCAAGTCCTTCTCTCTTCTGAGATTCTCTTCCAGAATCATCTGGTCCCCGATTTTACTGGACAACTTGTTGTTTTCTAGTTCCCTCTCCTTTAACTTGTCAATCAGCTCCTGCCTCTGTTGTTGTAACAGCGCCACCTGCTGAGTAAACAGTTCATCTTTTTCTCTCTCTACTAACTCTTCACTTGACCCAAGCTGACCTTTCAACTCCATCACTAACCTCTCCTGCTCTTGGACTCTTTTCAGCCATTTGTCATTTTCCATCTGAAGCATTTTATTTGTTTCTTGCAGAACTGAAACCTTCTGTCTCATTGACACCAGCTCTGCTGAGAGGTTAAAGTTAACTACTGTGTTGGACATTCCAAGCTTTGATCTGAGACTGCCAGACATCCATTTCTCTCTTTCTAGAGCCTCCTGCAAGAGGGCACTCTCTTGCGTATAAATTGACTTTGTATCACTCAAGTCCTTCCGCAAGTTTGAAATTTCATCGATGAGTTCAAAATGCTTATTTTCTAAAGCCTTGTGCCCATCTTCATCTGGCCCCAGTCCTGAGACAATAGGCTCCCCTCTACAGTCCCAGCTCCCCCCACTGAACGTCGAAGCTCCACTCCCGCTACAAACTGAAGAACCTGAGGGCGAAAATAAATCCGAAGCCTCAGGAATACTTTCAGGTACATTGGTGGAGATCTCTAAATGTGATGTACTCCTGACACTGTAACTTGATTCATCATCAAGTGGTGATCTCCATGGTAGAAGGGGTTTCACATCTGATCTCTCTCCAACCTCTTCTTCAAATTGGTTTTCCTCTTCATTACCCCTGGGTGTAGTGTTTTCCTCTTCAAGAAGGTCTTCTTCAACATCTTCACTGCATTCCACTTGAGGAGGATCCAAACTCAGTTTTTGTTGGAGTGACTTCAGGTTTCTCTCTGGTGTCTGCCTCCCAAGTAAATGTTCCTCCAGCTTCCGTATGTAAGTTTCCTTCTCTTTCAAGGTTTTCTCCATTTTATCTTGATATTCTTGAAAATCTTGAATGTCCTCTCTTTCTGGAGAGTCTACTTGATCCAATTCATCTTCTAGCTTTTTTATGTAATCTTCTTTTTTCTTAAGATCAGTTTTTATTGACGACAACTCTCTTTGCAGCTTTAAAGAATCCTCTTGATTCATGTCTTTCTTAGTTTGTGTCTGTTTATTTTCAATCAGAATTGCACAAACAGCTGTCTGCACTTCTTTCTCAGCCTTTTCAACTCTGACATGAGAATCCGTTCTTGTTTCCCTCTCTCTGTAAACTTGTTCTCTCTCTGTGTCAGATTTTGTCTCTTCACTTTCAGATATAATTTGACTCGAATCAGTTTGAGCATCTGTGTCTATTGTTTTAACCTCCACATGAGTTCCCTTACTCTGTTTATCTCTTACAAATTGTGTCTGGGTTGACCCAGTCTTCATATCACCACTTGGCTGATCTTTACTAAAGTCAGCTTGACAATCTTTGTCACTTCGAGCAATTGAAACCCTCCTATCTCTTAACTCCTCCATCTCTTTCTGCAAGGCTTCAATCACCATTTTCTCTTCTATTAAATTATCTTTTAGAGCACTAGTTTCCCTCAGTAATTCCTTATTTATTCTCTCTTGGCTAACACACTCATCACTTAATGCTTTATTTTTCAGTTTATTTTCATCATTTTCTTCCTTTTTCTTCTTTAGTTGGAACACCAGCTCTTTTGTCTTGCTCTCTACATGATCCATAAAATCATCTTTTTCTTTCATTTCAAGCTGCAAGGATAAATTGTCTCTCTTCAGAATTTCCATTTCCTTCTGACAACTGTTCAAGGTTTCAGTCAGTTTCACAATATCGCTCTCAAATTCTTCCACTTTTGCTTCTTTTGAAAAAAATTCTTCTGTTGCTTTAATGTTTTGATCCTGCTTATTGAGTGGTGCACTTATGTCTTTAACACTGGTCTTCATTTTATCTTGATCTCTTACAATTCCAAAGCTTTCATCACCTGTCCCTGATGCAGTATCCTCTTTAGTCTGAGCCTCTATCTGTTCCACACCTTCTTCTGTCATGAAGTCTGGTACACTGTTGCGTCGGCTTGATCCCCCTTCCACGACCATCTCCTCTTCTTCTTCTTCCACAAAAACTGAACCCTGTCTCAGTTCACTTAACTCACTCTCTAACTTTCGAATCTTCTCTACCAAAGCCTTCCTCTCACTATTATTCAAGCTCTCCACAATCCGGATTTTTTCTGTCAAAAATGTCTTCTGTAATTCTAATTGGTTAACCCTGCTTTCCATCTCCTTGTAATGCTCGTTTGAGAACAATCTCAGCGCTGACCAGGTATCTCCAACTCTGTTTCCAGCATCTTCTGCCTCATAAGAGAACTGTCGCTGAACGAAAGGTCTTCCATTTCTTGACAAACCACTGCCATGTCGTCCTGAAAATGGAAGGCCAGCACTTAATGGAGCTGGTACTGCTGTGTCTTCCTTCTGAGATTTTAATTCCTCCTCCAAAAGTTTTCTGTATAACTTTTCTTCATTTAGCTTCTCTTCAAGAATATCTTTGAGTTTCTTTTCTTTTTCATAAAGAAAAGTTAGTCCTTTGAGTTTGTTTTCCATTGCATCCTTTGCTGCAGACGAATCAGCTTTCACTTTCACTTCTGTCCTTTCCCTGTCACCACTTTCATCAGTATTTACCTCCATTTCTGCTGAAGGCATTAACGACCCAATTTTATTTTTTGATCCAGCGGAGGGAATATCTTCTACAAGGCTGTTGAGCTCTTGTTCAAGTCCTTGGCGCAAAAGAATCTCATTTTCAATTTTTGTGTTCAACATCTGACACCTTTCCAATAATTCTGACTTTTCTCTGGAAAATTCATCCATTGCCTTTTTAATTTTTTCTTCAAAGAAATCTTTGACTTTCAAAAGTTTTTCCAGATGAGTTCTTTCCATATCTGATAATTCTGTCTCTGATATCCCAAAGTACTCTGTGGAGTCTGGTTGGTCCTGTTGATTTTCAGATGGAATAAACCCTTCATCCGTATCAGTTCTGAAATACTGAACTGGTGCAGACAAAGGGAAAACCACTCTTTTTCTCTCTCCTGGTGAAAACTGAGGAGGTTCAGCAGAAAAGGATCTTTGAATATTTCTTTCTTCGCGACTTGTGTCCAAATTAAGACTCAGCCTGCTGGCCTGTAGATCCTCATCTCGGATGTCTTTTAAATACTCGCTGTCTTCAGGGTTAAAGCCTTGTTCCATTCCACCGTAAGCTCCGTCTAATTCACTTTCTGATCTCACGTCAGTTGGTTCAGGTTGAAAGCCTTGTTTGAGCTCAATACTCTGAACTTCATTAACACTGACTTTTAAGCAGTCTAATCCCTGTTCATTCAAAAACTCTGACCCTCGCCTTCTCAAGGAATCTAACCTGAGATTCTTCTCCCTGTTTTGAAGTCCATCGCCTCCAGAATTAACATCAATCAATTCAGGTTTAAAACCTTGTTCAACAATAGTGTCCTCCATAACGACATCAGACTTCCCACTTCCTGGTGCATCAAATCCAATATTGGCTGTACGGTCCAGCAAATCTTTGAAATTTTGATAAAGCTTTTGACAATCAGATTTCCTACAGGACCATTCCTGCCCTTGATGAAGGTCTAAAGAAGAATCTGGCGAAACATCTTCAGAGATAAATATGGAGTTGTGGCCTCGATCTTGCTCACGAAAGACAGAGTCATCTGCTGCATCATCAAGGGCTGGATTCAAACCCTGCTTCATTTGTTGGATTTCATTCATTAATTTGTCCCTTTCTTCACAGACCTCCTGAAAAACATAAAGTAAATGAAAATATTAAAATGATTTACCATTAAATTGAATCCATAAATTCAATATTTTGTACTTCTTACACTACATCAAACAACAACATACCTGGAACTGCTTCTGGAACTTTTGTTGAATCCCTGCCTTCCTCTTTTCCACCTCCGCCTTCAGTTTCTTCCCGTGATCCTTCCGAACTTTCTGCATTGCCTCCACAAATTCCTTGTGTTTCTCTGCTTTGACAGATTCAATTTTCTGAGCAACTGCCTGTTCCATCTGCTTCACCAAGTCTCTTTTCTCCATGTCAAATTTTCCTAAAAGCTCATACTCATGGTCCTTCAGTGACATTTCCAGTTTTTCTTCCATTTCATACCTCATTCCTTCTATTTGTCTTTCATACTCTTCACTCAGCCCTTTACGGATGTTTTCCCTTTCTTCTTCTAGGTTAAAATCTTTAGGCTCTTTATCACTTTGTTTGATGACTGTTTCAGAAATTCCTTCTTCTGGGATAACATCACTTCCTTCAGTTCTATTTGATTCTTCCACCACTGAGCCTCCAGCAATATTTAAATCTTCTTCAGGTGTATTTCTTAATTGTTCTGCTTCCCTCAATTTCTCGCTGTCAAGTATATTATCTGCACCCACATCTGTTCTTCCCTCAGATTCAGTTGTGTGATCAACTCTTTCCTCAGATTCAAAATTCTGATCATTTGATTGTGACGTCTCATCCCCTAAGTTGAGATTTTCACTGCCTGACCTCTGGTTCATGAATTCAGTGTCAACACTGCAACTCTCACTCACAGTCTGAGGGATTACTGAATCTTCTATCAAATCATTCTCCACTACTAGATTTTCAACATCATGAGATCCACCACTCAAAGAGTTTTGGATCATTGATTCTCCAAATACTTCACTCTCCACCCCCTGAGATCCACCACCAGCCCTCCTTTGGTTCTGCAGCTCTTTGTTAAACTTATCATTCAGTTCTTTCTGCCTCTCTTTTTCTGTAACTACCAACAGATGATCCTTTTCTTCAAGACTTGTCATCAGTTGATCCCTCTGTTCTTGTGCCGACTGAAGTTCTGATTGAAGAATATCAATGGACAATTTTAATCCCCCAACATCTCGATTGACAGATCCAAGCTGTTCACGTAGTTTCTCCATTTCATTATTACACTCCTGTTTTGTCTCTTCCATCAAGGCGTGGACTGATTCGTATCTGCCCTGCATCTCTGTCAAATCTTCCAACAATTTCTCCTGAATTGAGATCAACTCATCCCTTTCTGCTTTAACTTTCTCAAACCTCTCTTGAGTTTGTTTCAACTGATCATTTTCTTCAGAAAGGACACCTATTTTTGCCCTCAATTCCTTAATTTCAACAACTTTCTTCAGCAGATCTCTGGCTAGTTTCTCTTTCTCCACAATGATCTCATCCATTTTAGATTTGAACTGCGACTGCTCTTTACGAATGTTGACCACGTCCTGACGACTTCTTTCTACAGAGTCCCTCATTTCTGTTGTAATACCCCTGTGGACTTTCACCTCTTCAATAATCGTCTCCCTCTCTTCTCTCATTTCTGTATTCTCTGTTGTAACAATCTTCAACTTTTTCTCAAGCACATGTATTATCTGTTCTTTTTCATTCAAATCCTTCTCATACGTAGAAGAATTCCTTTTTACATTTTCTATCTCTTTTTCTAACATCCTAGCATTCTCTTGAATTTCATTTGCTTTGTCTTCATTTTCCTGGCATCTGTGTGTCAACTCTTCCAAACTTGTCTCTTTCTCAAGCAACTGATTCCTTAAGGTTTCATTTTCTTCCTTCAAAACAATGTTCATCGAGTTAGCTAAGGTTAATGACACCAAAAGCTCACTGATCTGCTTGACTTTAGGGCTTTCCTCTTGAAGCTGAATTTCCCTCTTTCCACTGATATCATCCTCCTTTATTTTCTGCTCCACACTAGACAAAGCCTCATCCACACTCTCCCGTGTCTCAGCAATGGACTCCAGTTCATCTTTCAAGGATAAAATTTCATTTTTCAATACCTCATTAGAAGACACTGACTGCTGAAACAATGATGTTATCTGCATTATCTGACTCTGTCCTCTCTCTATTTCATCCTGTAAGTCTGAAAAATCTTTTTTAAGTCTGACATTTTCAGATGACAAAAGCTCTACTTTTCTCTCCATTTCTTTCTGTAATTCTGCATTATCTTCAACAAAATCAGATTCCTTAGTCATGTCTTCAGCATTACAAGTATTCCTTGCTGCGGCTTCACTGGTTAGTTTTTCCAGTTCTTTTGTCAAGACTTTGTTTTCCTCCATGAGTTGACTATTCTCTTCCATCAGTACCTCTAGGTCCTCTTCTTCTCCCTTACGTAGCCCTTGCCTAGCCTCCTTAAGACAAATCTTGAGATAGTTTTTGTCTTTCTCCAGCTCCTGAACTGTTGTCATTAATCTGTCAACTGTTTTCTTTAATTCCAGATTCTCAACTCTTGTAGACACTCTGGCTTTATCATTGCTACATTCTGTGGATACTGCTTGTTTGCCAGTACCTGCTGTTGTCTTCTCTGGTATTGACTTTTCTTCAGTAACTATCAACTGCAATTCTGACTCATCAACTTTCATTTCGGATTCTGATTCAGAGAGCCCTGCAGTTAATGCCATGTCCGACTTAATCTTAGACAACGATGATTCCAGTTTTCCCAAAGATTCCAGAACATTACTATCTTTCTCTACTTCTTCTTGTGGTGTCCTGTTACCAATGTTCTCCTTTAAATCCCCAATATCATCCCTCAGCTGTTGAATTTGATAATGCTTCTCTTCCAACCTTGACTCCACTTCTTTCCTCAGTTCTGTTTTTAATGTTTTACATTTCTGTTCCATCTCTTCAAGCTTCTTTACCATTTCTGAGTTTAATTCTTCGAGTGTTGACATTTTAAGTTGAAGCGTTTTAACCTGAAGTTCAGAGTCTTTCAATTTCTGCTGGAGATAACATACTTCCCTATCTTTTGTTGTACTCATTTCCACATTTCTTGATTCTACATTTCCCATCTCTTTCTCCAAATTAGAAATAATCTGCTTAAGTTCTTTAACTTGGATTTCTTCATCTTTTGCTTTTTCTGCCTGATGTTGCATCTCTTGTTCAAGGTTTAAGACTTTTTCAGATTTTTCCTTTAATTCTTGTTGAATTTGTTGGATTTCTTGTTCTCTGTTTAAAATGTCTATCTTGTGTTTCTCATTTTGTTCATGACTTGCATATTTTGTTTCCTCTACTAACACAGCAAGTCTTTCAATTTCAGAACTTTTCAAACTACACTCCTCTTCCAATTTTTTTGCACTGTCTTCTGAAAGTGATAACAAATTCTTAATTTCATCTTCTCTACTTTGCAAATGTTTCTCAGTGGATTTCATCTTTTCCCCATTTTCAGAAATCTGCTGAAGAAGACCTTCACATTTCAATTCCATTTCTTTCACCAGTTTCTCCTTTACTTCCAGACTTTCCATCAGATCCTGAGACTCCTTCTGAGCTGATATTTTTTCTTTCACTTCAGCTTCTAGTTTTCCTTCAAGTTCAGCAAATTTAATTTTAAGTTCCTCATTTTTAATCTGTGCATCTTTCCAAGTCTCTGTTAAATCCATACATTGTTTCTGTACTGACTCCAACTCATTTTCTTTAGCTTCAAGTTTTTCTTCCAGTCTGACTAATTTATCTGTCAATTCCTGCTTTATTTCTTGTAAAGCTTCCATATCCTTATTAAGTTGGTGATTTTTGTTTTCAAAATCTTTTAAAATCTCTCCCATTTTATGAAGTTCCGAGTCTTTCTCTTGCACTGAAGACCACAAGCTTCTCTGTTCTTCTCTGATTTTCTGAATCTCAGCATCTTTCATTTTTACATCTTCCTGATGTCTTTTCTTTATTTCATCATCTTCCTCCAACTGCTTTTGGATCCTCATCTCTGCACTCTGGATGTTGAATGACAGGATTCTATTCTGACCTCTTAATTCATCAATCACACTCTCAAGCTCCGAGATCTTAGTATTCCTAACTTCTTGGCTGGCTTGTTTTTGTTCTTCTAACTTTTGCTGCAAAGTTTGAATTTTTCTAAAGTTTTCCAGCTTCTCTTTTTCTACAATGTTCATTTCATTAATAAGTTTCCTGTGATTTTCCACCAACTCACTTTTCTCCACCAGTAAATTTTCATTGTCAGAATTCACTCTCTGTAACTTTTTAATGAGATCTTCAATTTCTGTTTCCATTGCTAATTTTTCATTCGTAGATTGGTCCAGCCTCTCTCTTAGTTTTGAATTATCCTCCTCTAATTCACTCAATCTTTGCACAATATCTTCACTTTCTTTTAAGATTTTGGATCCCATGACTTCAGAATCAGACAAACTTTCCAGCAGACTGGAATTTTCTGACACAACTGTTTCATATTTCTGCAAAAGCTGGTCATGTTCATATTTTAATGTATGGTTTTCATCACCTACCATATCATAATGATCCTGTAGACTTGAATAGTCACATTTCACATCATTAAGTTCCTTCTGTAATGTTTCTAATTTTTCCTTAAGTTCCTCGTTGTCATATTCTAAATTCTCATTCTTAATTGTTATATCTGAAAAACTTGCTTTGAACACATCAAATTGATTAGACACTTGATTTAACTTATCCCGAAAATCTTTACATTCACAAGATTTCTTGTCTAAATCCTCCATTACTGATTTTATTTTCAGTTGAAGAGATTCCTTTTCTGAAGCTAACACAGAAATTTGTTTTTCCATCTCACACTTTACATCCTCACTGAATTCACCTGCCACTGTTTTGTTTAGAGCAATAATAGTGTCTGGTAAATCCACATTATCATTTCTATTCTCACCATCAGGATTTACATGAAAATTACCACTTACTCCATCACTACCAATCCCAGTGGAAACAGAAGGTGGACTCTGAACAGAAACATTCTCAACAGAAACATGAACAACAGAACTGGAATTAGTTAACTCATGAACAATAACAGAAGCAGCAGCATCTGATGAAAGCATGCACGGGCTCACCTTAATGTCACCGGATTCTGAGTGTGTGCTGTCGGCTGTGGATCTCGCTCTGTCTGCAGGGCTGGGTCCTCTCTCTGAAGTAAGGTCAGTGTCAGGAACTGAAGTGCTAAGTATGACAGGTTCTTGCATAGTGTCCTCTGGAAGTGCCATCTCCTCGACAATTTGCATCATCTCAGTGTTTTGAGCCCCATCAACTCCATCTTCTTCATCATCCACCATCATGTCCTCCATTTCTTCAGGTTGAGATTCCATTTTGGATTCCACATTTTCTTCGTCTATAGAATCTTCCAGATTAAGACTGTCACAAGAAATGTTATCTGTTTCAGTGTTTTGAATCCTTTTCAGTAGTTTTTCCTTCTCTGCCTCTGCTTTTTCTAGTTTTTCGAGGAGGTGACATTTTTGGTTTTCTAATGTCCTAAGAATCTTAAGGAAATTTTCTGAATCTAATGAAATATCTGGGTCTAAGTTTAACACTGATCTGATTGCACTTTCATCTTGAGATTTTTCCTCTTTCATTGATTCTAGTTCAGATAAAACAGATTGAAGTGTCTTTTCTTTCACATCCTCCAATTGCTTATGTGCTACAAGACTTTCATTGAGTTTGGAAATTTCTTCTTCATATTGAGAAATAAGAATTGCACTTTGCTCCAATGAATTTGTACTGTCTTCATTATCGACATCATCAGATTTATTTTGTCCAAATTTATCTGATTTTTCCACACTAAATAAATTCACATGACTCGCTTGAACGAATTCTTCCTGAACAAACTCCATTTCCTCACACAACTTTTCACTACTTATTCCAACCTCTTTCTGAGTTGTAGTCTCTTTCTGATGTTTAGCCTCCTTTTCAATTGCAGCCTCACTCTGGCACAGCAGATCTTCCACCACAGACTCTAGCATGAATTCTGTGATGGAGTCATCACCCTCCTTTTCTGAAGTTTCCCAGTCCTTCGGTTTTTTAACATCGGGGGACGGGGACTTACTTTCTTTATAAACATGGATTTCGGCTTGCAGTGTATTTATCACATCATCTTTGTCTAGCAGTTCTTGTTTATAGGAGTCGTGAAGCTGGTCAATTTCAGCCCACTTCTCATCCTGGGAATTTTGCAGATCTTTCTGAAGTCGGAGAATGTGATCCTCTAAAGTCTGAACTTTGGTCTTAAAAGCTGAATTCTCTTCTTTTAGATGTTGGACTGTGGTTTCTAAGTCATGAATTTTAGACACAGATTTCTCCATGGACTCTTGGTTTTCATTTCTCTCGAATTCTAATTCATCCAGATCTTTCTTGGAAAAATTTTCCACCTCCTCTGTGAGTCTCTGTATTTCTGAAGTGAGCTCTTCTTTTTCACTCCCCAGTCTGAGATTTTCCTGCAGCAGCTTTTCCTTTTCACTCCCAGCCACTTCGATCTGGTACTGCTGACTAAGATATAAGTCCTGTTGGACGTTGATTCTATTTTTAAGTTCATCATTCTGAATGCGGTAACACTGACACTCCTGTTGAATTGAATCCAGCTGAGATACAATTGCCTCTAACTGAAGTTCTAAATCTTCACTTCGTTTACATTTTAATAAAGCATTCTCCAAATCCTCATTTAACTGGTCCAATTCCAAAGCCTGCTGTTCTTTTTCTCGCTGAAGCTCTACAATGTTGGACTCCTGCATGGAAAGTTGTTCATCTTTTTCCTCGAGACTTGCCACTAACATATCTCTCTCGACGCAAAATGATTCCAGTCTTCTCCCTTTCTCTGCAATATTTTTTTCAGAGCTTTCTAACTTTTCCTCCAGCTGTATGACTTCTTCAGAGAGTCTCTCGTTGTCACCACGTAGAAGCTCCATCTCAATTTCATGCTTGCTCTCAGTCAATGCTTCTTCCAACTCCAGGATTCTTTCGTTTTTTAGTTTTAGTGTGTCTGTCAGGAGTTCATAATCTGCCTTCAGAAGATCTAACTCCCCACTGTCACTGTCTGCTGTTTCTTTTGTTAATTTCAATTGATTTTCTAATTCTTTTACTTTCATTTTCAATTCCTCTGCTTCTTTCGCTACCATTTCATCTTTTACTTTCACTTCTTCTGTCACTTTCACATTTTCTTCTAGATCAATAATTTGAAGTTTCAGCTCATGATTTTCAATTTTCAAACACTCAGTTTCTTTGGCATTCTTTTCATTCAGACTTTTAACATTGTCTTTTAATTCCACATTCTCATTCCTTAGCTGCTGCACTTCTACTAAACTCTGTTCTTCCATATTTTCAATGTCACTTTTTAATTTCTCGTTTATCTGCTTGAGATCATTCAATTCTGAGAGACTGGACTCAAGATTTCTAACATTGTTTTTAAGTTTTTCACTCTCACTTTCACTTTGAGACACTGTGGACTGTAACTCAGCAATCTGATTGTCTTTACTTCTGACAACTTCCTGTAAAGCCTCCAGCTGACCCTGATTCTGTGTCGTTATTTCATCACTTCCTGTTTCCCTTGTCAGTTTCTGTAATGTGGCAATCTGTGTTTTGGCCTCTTGGAGTTCATGCTGTAGCTGTGATAGCTCCTCTTGATTGGCTGCTGAGGATCTTGGGTCATGACCTTGTTGGAGAGCCTCCTGATTGGTTGCTGGTGACCCTATGACCTGGTGACCTTTGTCCCTCTCCCTGAGATTTTTCTGGAGGACTGCTATTTCTGCCTTTGCCTCTTGCAGTGTCTGAGTTGTGGAGTTGTATTTTTCTGACTGGACCTCGAGAAGTTTACTGGCCTAGAAAAACAATGAGAAACACAAATCACTTTTTGTAAAACAATAAAACTGACCATTAGAATGTTAGAATGTACAGGTGACCTTTTTTAGCAGTTTTTTGACTGTTAGATACCAGTCTCTGACAAGATAAGGAAATTAGATACCAGTCTCTGACAAGATAAGGAAATGTACTTTGATATGCAGTCAGAGAAATAACTTTTTTTCTGTAGCATTTATAAAGAGAAGTCCGTATGTTTGGTTTGAACTTATATTTTGGGATTTGAAACTTTATAAACAGAGAATAATATTTATAAAGTCTCTTTACAATTACTTGTGTGCCAAGTTATACTGAAATCAGACCAAAATGTAGGAGGAGTAGCATTTTGAAAGAAATTTTACAGACATTTCTATTTTTCGTTCATCAAAATTAAAATTCAACAGAATTATGTATCATTTACTTGTGTGCCAAGTTATACTGAAATCAGAAAAAAAATCATTTTTAAACAATTTTACAGATAATTCTATTTTTAGTAACACAACAACACCATTCATTGAAATCAAAAACATACATTTTGTACTTGTTTGCCAAGTTATACTGAAATCAGACCAAAACTGTAGGAGATAGCATTTTCAAAGAACATAGAAATTTCCCACGGCAACACCCATTCAAAAACCGATCACAGATTTATGTATCTTAGTGTATTCTACTTGCATGTGTGGTGAAATCAGACCAAAACTGTAGGAGGAGTAGCATTTTGAAAGAATTTCACAGAAATTTTTATTTTTACTAACCACGGCAACACCGTTCATCGAAATCAAAAACCAATACACAGAATTATGTAACTTAGTGTATTCTACTTGTGTGCCAAGTAATACTGAAATACGACCAAAACTGTAGGAGGAGTAGCATTTTGAAAGAATTTCACAGAAATTTCTATTTTTAGTAACCACGGCAACACCGTTCATCGAAATCAAAAACCGATACACAGAATTATGTAACTTAGTGCTTGTGTGCCAAGTAATACTGAAATCAGACCAAAACTGTAGGAGGAGTAGCATTTTGAAAGAATTTCACAGAAATTTCTATTTTTAGTAACCACGGCAACACCGTTCACGGAAATCAAAAACCGATACACAGAATTATGAGTGTATACTTGTGTGCCAAGTTATATTTGCAAAACTGTAGGAGGAGTAGCATTTTGAAAAAACATATGGATTTAGAACATTACTATCGCATAATCTGGTCTCTTAGATAAAGACTAATTTCACGGACATACATTTTGTAGTTGGTTCTTGAGATGCTGAACTTCCTGGGCCATTTCCGTTGCTATGGTGTCGGTGGGGGCCTGATTGGTCACGGTCTGTAGAGCAGACGACAGCTGGACAATCAGCTCCTCCCTCTTCTTAACGGCCGCCTCAAGTTCAGTCAACTGGAACAGAACGAAGATATGTAAACATACGGATTTAAAACTAAAGAGGATGCAAGACAACCCCCCTATCAACTTTATACACCAACTTAATTCTGAGAAATATACAACCTTTTATCCCTTACAATTAGATATAACATCAAATGTCATGGATGTAAACATCAGTGTTTGTGTGATGTGACAGACTAATACTCAATCATTGTGTTTTTTCTCATAAAACAGGGTTCTAACTAATACAAGAATCTGTGTAAAAGATGCAGTAACTTTACTTCGGGTAGGATTGTTACTTCTGACTCCTGAATCTTTTTCTGTAGTTTGTCATTCTTTCACAAATCTTTGTTACTGTTTTTGGTATGTCAGGGAAGGCAGTGTGTGTGTATGTAGGGGCGGGGGCTACCTGTGACTCCTGATCCTTTTTCACGTAATTCTTTGAGATGACTTTATCCAGGGTCAATTGTTTTCCTGTCAGTCCTGCCTGTGTGTGTGTGGGGGGGGGGGGGGGGAGGAGGGGGGGTTACTTTTGACTCCTGGCTCTTATTGTGTAGCTAGTTGTTCTCTAAAATGACTTTATCTAGGGCCAGCTGTTTTTCTGTCAGTCTTGTGTGTGTGTGGGTGGGGGGAGGGGGTATAGGAAGGGGGAGGTGTATTTGGGGGGGGGGGGGGGGGGGGTTACCTTTGATTCCTGGATCTTTTTCTGTAGTTGGTCATTCTCTAAAATGACTTTATCCAGAGCCATCTGTTTTCCTGTCAGACTTGTGGGGGGGTGTATTTGGGGGGGGGGGGGGTACCTTTGACTCCTGGATCTTTTTCTGTAGTTGGTCGTTCTCTGAGATGACTTTATCCAGGGCCAGCTGTTTTTCTGTCAGACTTGTGTGTACATGTACTGTGTGTGTGTGTGTTGGGGGGGGGGGGGTTGTTACCTTTGACTCCTGGATTTTTTTCTGTAGTTGGTCATTCTCTGAGATGACTTTATCCAGAGCCAGCTGTTTTCCTGTCAGACTTGTGTGTGTGTGTGTGGGGGGGGGGGGGGGATGAGCTGGTCGTTCTCTGAGATGACTTTATCCAGAGCCAGTAGTTTTTCTGTCAGACTTGTGAGTTTGTGTGTGTGTGTGTGTGGGGGGGGGGGGGGGAGTTGTGTTGGGATGAGGGGGTTACCTTTGAATCCTGGATTTTTTTCTGTAGTTGGTCGTTCTCTGAGATGACTTTATCCAGGGCCAGTTGTTTTCCAGTCAGACTTTCCTCCAGTTCCTCGATTCTGTCGTACGCAGCGTAAAGAGACGTCTGGGTCTTCAGAAGTGTCCGTGTGTCCTACAACATTTATTCCATTTTTTATATGAAATACATACAATTTAATGAATTTTAAAATGATTGTTGGATTCCTTGTACAAAATTACCTTTCAATCAAAAGTAGGGGAAAAAATGAGAATTTTATTTATAGGTAATTTACAGTATACAAATAGACTTATTTTCTTGGTCAATGACACCAGAAACCTCTGCATAAATCCCTGACCCAGCAGGGTTTTTTCTAGGTCTTAAAAACAAGGGCCTGGGCCTTTCCAATTGGGAAAAATAGCTACATTTGGTTGATATTGGGAAAAGTATCATATTTAATATTTTTCTATATAAATTCAAATAAGAGGGTTTTTGTTTTATTTGCAAAGTATTTCTTTGACCTATTTTCCATTCAGTCAATCAGTTTTGGGAGAATGCCTTTTAGATTTTTATTTGGAACAGCTTTTTTGATAAAAATGTTACTATGTTTGAACATTTTTTAACCGGTTTGTTTGTTTCGTTTTGATTATTGGGAATTTTAGTCTAATGAAATGTTAAGGGAAAAACACATACTTTTTACCATTGGGAATGGGGCTCGATTTTTTTATCATGGCCCCCTACGATCTACCTAAAAAAAACCCTGCCCAGTTATAAAAGATTTTCCAATTATTAAAATTTTAAGTGATTTAAGAGATTTGATTGAAACAGTCAAAATAATGAAAATAGTTTACAATTGTACAAATTATTTCATGTTGACACTCCCTGTCAGAAAATTCAATTGAACTGAACAACTGGCCATGTTAATGAACAAAAGTGTACAAGACATGACGTGGACCTTGACTACAAGAACTTAACAACCAGACACTTACATCAGATCTGCTCTCTGTGTTGCCTTGGTCACTCTATAAATAGAACAAAACATTGACAGAAAAATGACTCTTAAAATACAAAAAAACACAAAAAGAGTTCATAACTAGTGCAATTTGATAAACAGACAATGTCACAATATTTATAAGACAGGAATTTTTTTAATTTATATATACACTATTTATTCAAATAACTCTCCCTTGCGTAACATATATGTGTTATTGTTTACTCTTCAAAGACAGAAATGACACTTCTGATCATATGAAACAAGAAGGATACTGAACCAAATGTATTATTGTACACTGGCCCTGGCGCAAGACACACACAGAGGTCAAAAAGTCACAGAGGTCAAAGGTCACTTACATCTGACAAGGACACATCTCCTGAGCTGGACAGTGAAGCCTCACTCTGGCTAATTCCCATGGCAACATCTTCCCTGTCATCTCCCGGTGACACAGTTTTCTTCTTCTTTCTTTTTTTCTGGAACTCTGCCAACTAAATATGGAGAGGAAAGTCATATATATTATTATAACAGTAACTTGATCCAAAGAGTCGTATCACGTCGAGTTGACAGACCTGGATCATCAGATCTCACGAGACGCGAAGCGTCGAGTGTGATTGATGATCCGCGCCTGTAATCAGTATAGTTTTACGGCTTTCGCGCAAGTTACTGTTTAATGATACATTTATTATATACCCCCTTATATCTAGCTAAATATAGCAGAATAAAACTTTAGAGATCAATTGTATAACATTTATCCATAAAACATTGCATAATAACTAGGGACTTTTTAACGCGCAAGAAAAATAACGTCATGTTTTTGCGTACTACGTCATCAGTTTCAGAGAGTGGTGATATGGATTCAGAAAACCACAGTGTGGTGATCTGGAAAATCGGATCAAACTCTGTAAAATTAACAGTAACAAAAACAAGGAAATTGATGGGTATATAATAAAAACTATTATCACTATAGAGATTTTAACAAACCCAATTTCCTTTTTTTTTCTCGTGTGGGGATTGTGAAAAAGGGGTAGATCAGTATAGTTTTTATTTTTCGTAAGTTATTTTTTATGATTGAAGATTTTTTTTGGTTTAAAATTGTAATGATTTTATGTCACATTATAGCTGAAATAATTTCTGTGTGTTTTATATTTTGCAAATTATATATGATCACTAAAAAAGTGAAAAATAGGTCACCGCAAAAAAAAAGGATATATGGGTACATATATATTATTATAACAGTAACTTGATCCAAAGAGTCGTATCACGTCGAGTTGACAGGCGCGGATCATCAGATCTCATGAGACGCGAAGCGTCGAGTGTGAAAATTGTCAACGAGCGTTAATTTTTGCAGTTACTGTTATAATGATAAATTTATTATATACCCCCTTATAACTAGCTAAATATAGCAGAATAAAACTTAAGAGATCCATTGTATAATATTTATCCATAAAACAAAGCGTAATAACAAGGGACTTTTTAACGCGCAAGAAAAATAACGTCATGTTTTTGCGTACTACGTCATCAGTTTCAGAGAGTGGTGATATGGATTCAGAAAACCACAGTGTGGTGATCCGGAAAATCGAATCAAACTCTGTAAAATTAACAGTAACAAAAACAAGGAAATTGATGGGTATATAATAAATAACAGTGTTACACACAGAATAAAGTAAGGAATGATTTCAGAAAGATCTTGCAAGTTTTAATTCCATGAGTCGAATTGTACCCATCAATTTCATAGTCTAGCTATTATTATTAAACATTTTAAACATAACAGATTGAAATGACATAAGCTGCATATTTCCAATTTTGCCAGCTAATGTTCTGCAATCTTAATACATCTCAGGTGATTATAGTTAGTTTGAAAGTTGGACAATAAGTTTATGAATTTAAAAAATCAGAAAAAATGCTTTCCTTGTTCTGTTCATATAGATTTTACATTATTTTAAAAATAATAACATGTATGAGAGCAATAAATTACAATTTTCTACTTTCACATATTTCAATAAAATACAGTGATCAGATACCAACCACAGGAGAAAAATGTACCTACCTGTGCATCAAATATTGGGATGGGGCCAATATTAGGTAATATTTGGGGTCCTTGAAAAAAGCCATATTGGGCAAGGCGTAATGTATTTTTTCAAGGACCCAACATATTTCCGTATTATTCCTCTAAGTGTTTACATAACGAATTTATCCTGTCAAAGATTTCTCAATAAAGTTAACACTCTTTTTCTGCGTTAGCTAACCATTCCGTAACAAATTTTGTTTACAGCTGTGCATTGTGACGTCGTTTAATGTTTATATGACGTCAGCTATTCAGCATGTTCAATAATGATGTGTGGTGGGTAGGTCACATGGATGATGGTGGGTGCATATTAGCAATATGAGGTGGGAAGACAGCATAACATTGTTTCATGCAGTATTCTTCTCGACTAATGAAATTTCACAATTTTTATCAGAGGCAGGATAACTTCAATGGGAATATTGGATGTAAACATTATACTCCTACCCAAACAAAAGTTCCATTTCTTCCAAATTACTATATTTGTTAAAAGTAGTAGTCCATTAAGGTAAATATATCAGTAACAATGATTTGTTGCATGCAAAAAAAAAATTAGAGTAAAATTTTGACATATAATTTTTGTCAATATACCGGGGGCCGTATCAGGCGTATGTCATCTCATCCTTTCAACTATGTGATTTATAGCGAGTGCAGCGAGCGTCGCGAAGCGACGCTCGTAACTGCGAGCTCTTAAAGCAACGCCTATGCGAAGAGAAAATTCGGACTATCTGCACATTCATTCGATGAAATTTTTTGATGCCGAAATTGGACCCACAATGCAACACTTAATTGTTAAAGCTACTTTGAAAAGAATAGGAAAAGTCCAAAATATAAGTAAACATGCCCTGATATAATGGATAAATATTGAAGATCAAACATTTAGCTTACTAGAAACGTTTTTTTTTTATTTTCAGCATTCCAGGATTCTTTGGCGAAATGTAACTTACTGTTTAATTCGATAAATCAAAAATTTAGATTATAAAGCAACAAATGAAACGTGCAGTTTATTTAAAATTTTCCTTTTAAATTCTAACAAAATAAAATTGCGCTCGCCATAACGGACATTTAACACATGCAAATGAAACATATTCAAGATTTTATTTTAAAGTTTCACTGTTCAAAATATAAGTTTATTTTCGAACTCATTCAAACAAATAATTGAAGAATTTAGATTCTAGGCTTAATCAAATATACTATCGTCCATGACAGAGGAAAAAGAAATAAACGATCATGACAGGGTTGTTGCACACACCATGCATTTCTGTTTAATGGATCAAAAACAGGATGCATGTGTGGAAAAAACAGATAACAAGTAAACAGGTTTTGGGGAATTTTTAAGTATGAAATTGGGAAACATCTAGCACTTTGTGCCATTGGGAAAATATTGAATAATTGATATGCAGTGATGTTTACCAGCTTTCAAGTTTTGTATTTTCGTCGGCTGCCATTTCTAACGACTTGTGCCTGGTTCCTAAGTTGTCGCTGGTCGTCCTCGTTTTGCGACACAGGGCGGCATCATTAATACTGTTTCGACTATTCGTGTCAACAACATTCTTTAGTTGTAAACTCATACATTTACAGGTTTTACCGATTAATCGATCTCAAATTTCAATCCGATTAATCTTTGGTTGGGTTTCAGCGATAAATAATAAAATATAATAACACCACTATTCCAAATTACTATATTTGTCAAAAGTAGTAGTCCATTAGGGTGAATATATCAGTAACAATGATTTGTTGCATGCAAAAAAAAAAAATTAGAGTAAAATTTTGACATCTAATTTTCGTCAATATAATTTATTACACAATCCTTTCAACTATGTGATTCTTAAGCTCTATCATTTTAAAGCACAATCTCTTATAAGCTATATAGCTTTAAAAGCTATATAGCAAAACCAATGAATATTCAAAATAGTTTATAAAGCTATATATATGCAGTTTCTCACAAAAATTTTTTGAAAGAAAAAAACAAAAAAATTTTACTATATACATATGTTTATATTGGACTATCAAAAATACAACCTAAATCATAGAAAGTTCTAAAATTGCTGATGTTGAATACCTTTAAACAAAATATGAATTTCCATTGTTTGGGTAACTGTGTGTGCGGTGAGGCATGGGTAAGTATGATTGCTTCTCATTGTGCTGAACTGTTACTAATCAATTATCCTGTTGGCCATAACTGGCCTCCTTTATAATTTCATTCAAGAAAAAACTGTGTGGTCACTCATTAGCCCCAAAACTTTTAAAATATTACAAAGTCTCTCAAGGAGACGCAATTTGGTGAGTGATTTTTACATGCAATGTATTCAGAAGAGTACAAAGTTTAATATATCCACTGCACCAAAGTGCGACTTTTTGCACATGTTGAAAAAATAACACATTTGAGAAAAACGTCTGAGAAAATAGCTTCATCAAGCTATTCTAAATAGCTTAATAAAGCTATATAGCTAAATCAAGCTATATAGCTTAATCAAGAGATTGTGCTGGACCTGATGTTTATAAAGTTTACTGTAAATCAAAATGAAAGTCCGTTTCTCGAATCTCATTCAAACAAATAATTGAAGCATTTAGATTCAGGCTTAATCAAATAATTTGTCGTCCTGTTGAGGAAAAACATCTCCCGATTTCATCACACACCGACATAAGGATAAAGGATGTAGCAAACAGCGCCACGCTGGACCAAAACAGATAACAAGTAAACAATGGGGGATTCTTGTGTTTCGTGAAAGAAACATGCTTAAAAACTGGAAAAATAATGAATAATTGATATGCACCTTTTGTTTACCAGCTTTCAATTTCTGTATTCTTTCGTCGTCTGCCATTTCTAACGACTTGTGTCTGTTTCCTAAGTTGTAGACGAAGTTTTAGCGGCCATTAATACTTTTTCCGGTAGGTGTCGCACTTAACGATTGTAATAGTTGAACAATGTCGGTTATTATCCGGATGGTATAATTATGAACAACCCACTGTACTTTGATTTACTTAGATGAATATAATAAAATATAATAATCTAGGGGAGAGAGAACAAGAGAATCACAATATTATTCAGCAAATATTTTTGTTTTACAATATTTTTATCATTATTTCTAAATAATTTATAGCACAATGTCTCTACGATAAAATTAATTATATTATTAATTTAAAATTATTACCAAAACCAATGAATATTTATTTGTTTAACAAAAGTGTTGTAAATGAAAGAAATATACTGCTGAAATTGTAGCTGCAGATCTGTAGCTCGCTGGTCAGAAGAAAAAAAATGCTTATCATAAATCCTATTTTCTTTGAGACCAGCAAGGTATGACATACAATATGTAGCTATGTTTTTTAGCTCTCCGAAAAAATAAATTGAAAGACGGGAGAGCTATGTACAGTGCCATCCCGGCATTGAAAAAACTGTAAATTTATTTTGCACAAAAATGTGCTCCGTTTCTCGTTTTATTTCTCCATGTTTTTAACTGTCACCTCAAAATATTACTAACCGTGTGTTCCTAACACTGTTTTCATGACAAAACATTTCCTATAGTTGTTGTTAATAGCCTTTCTATAGCCCTGAAATCGAGATCATCGAAAATTTCGTCTTTTTATACTGCCATTTTGGTTTGCAAGATAATTCGGTCCAACACACTTCGTGCAAATGTCAACTATGAGAGGAGTTAAGAATATTTATGAAATCTATCTTTTTGCAATTGAAGAAACGATTTGGAAGAATTACTCCAAAACTAAGCGCAACTTTTAGTACGCATTAAATATGGCACTGTAGCTCTCCGGTCTGTCAAAATATTTTTTCGGAGAGTTACAGATCTGCAGCTAGTGAGCAACTTAATTTTTTTTCTTTATCCCTGTGAAAGATATTTGCGTCATATCATGATTATATGGGGACAACGAACAGTATATATTCAAGCTCAAAAGTCCATTAAACAATTAATACAAAATTGGAGTAGAGAAATACGAACCTCCAAAACATCATTGTAAGCGCCATGGAGGAGTGAGCATCCCCTGCCGACCGGTGTAAGCGCCATGGAGGAGTGAACATCCCCTGCCGACCGGTGTAAGTACCATGGAGGAGTGAGCATCCCCTGCCGACCGGTGTAAGTACCATGGAGGAGTGAGCATCCCCTGCCGACCGGTGTAAGTGCCATGGAGGAGTGAGTATCCCCTGCCGACTGTTGTAAGCGCCATGGAGAGTGAGCATCCCCTGCTGACCGGTGTAAGCGCGCCATGGAGGAGTAAACATCCCCTGCCGACCGGTGTAAGCGCCATAGAGGAATGAGCATCTCCTGCCGTCCGGTCACTTCCACCATGGAGGAGTGAACATCCCCTTCCGACCGGTCACATCCGCCTTGGAGGAGTGAGCATCCCCTGCCGACCGGTGTAAGCGCCATGGAGGAGTGAGCATCCCCTGCCGACCGGTCATATCCGCCATGGAGGAGTGAGCAGCCCCTGCTGACCGGTGTAAGCGCCATGAAGGAGTGAGCATCACCTGCCGACCGGTCATATCCGCTTTGTGCTTTTTGTCATGATCGGGAGAAAATATGAGGCAGTTTAATTTATAAGAAAGATCTCAAAATAAAAGTATTTCAATATTCGTTTAATCGGTGAGACAAAAAAGCATGCATGGTTTTGAAAATCTTTATTGAAAAGTGGGTTAAAATAGAAAACGGACTTTACATTAAATATCTATTGTCTAAAACCCAAAGAAAAAAGTCTTTCATGCGATATGCAGAGGTTTCTCACTGATGTAAAGGATAATGGTATCTAGTGTATTCCTCTACCCGATTTTCCTTTTCAATTCTTTCTCCTTTTTTTCAAATTAGATATTTACACAAGTTTGTTTTTTTTTTCTTATTCCTGTACTCTGATATATCTGATATGTATAATTATGTGATTTTAGAATCTCTTTTAATGAGGTGGGGGTTTATACACAAGCCTGCAAGGAGCTCAAGTATTGCTATGAGTATCCATCCATGTGAAATGACGTGGACCTTCTCTCTCTCTCTCTCTCTCTCTCTCTCTCTCTCTCTCTCTCTCTCTCTCTCTCTCTCTCTCTCTCGTATCACATGTAACAATGTTGATTTTGATCTCAAAGTTCCAACTTTTATATTGATTTACTGATACAACAAGGAAACAACACGTCCATATCTAACGATTGTATTGTATTACTTGACACACACAGGCCTGGAAATGAAACGAGGAATTCTGCAAAATTATCCATAGGCCTATATATTGTAATTATGTCACAGTTAAATACATTGAGAGAGGAGGCAAGGGAGAGAAAGAGGGAGTGAGAGATTCATCCCTTCACAGTTCAAAAATTCAAACACGTTGAGAGAGAGATTATTCATCGCTCCAAAGTTCATAAATTTAAACACATTGAGAGAGAGAGAAAGAGAGAGAGATTATTCATCGCTCCAAAGTTCATTTAAAACGTATATCCTGTATCTCACAGGGGGTAAATTTAGACTCATAGTATGGTTTCATAAATAGAAAATAAGAACCAAAACAAACATCACAGATTTCTTTAGAGTTTTTATTTATCGTTGTGGTTATGAAATAGCACCTTGAATCACTGGCTAGCCGAATCAGAGTCCTTATCTCAGAATAAACAATCGGACAGCAGGAGGGAGAATGACGTCATCCATTTTCAAAATGTTAATAAAATACGACTCGCTCCCCAGCTAAATCATATCCAGCAATCCTTAGTTTAATGCAATACTTAATTGCCAAATAAAGTTTCAGTATTTTTCTCAACTTTTTGAAAGAAAAAATTACAGGAAGTAAAATGAACTTGATATTGGAACAAATTGACCGAGTGTTTTCGGCCCCTGATTCGCTGAAGTTTGTTTCTGGTCTGATGGTTTTGTGGGGGATTTCTAATTTAATCACGCTTCAGTTCACCACGGCCCCCTACGGCCGGTACACACGTCCGGGATGGGGATACCTCATGCCTGCTAAGCTCGCCTGGTTCCTACAAGAGTTACCGTCCTTTGTTGTACCGCTTATAATACTCTCAAGGTGGCGCTCTGATGAGTTAGTGAATATCCATGGAAATAACAAGATTTTGATTGGATGCTTTCTAGTACACTACTTTCACAGGTGAGATTTCGTAGCCCCTTTTTTGTAACTAAGTTACGTTGATAATGGGTTTTTTTTTTGTTTTTGTGGGTTTTTTTTAGTTCAAAATGAAAGAAAAATTAATCTTACTCAAGAATTTTTTCCCTGAATTTCTTATTTTATTTTAATTTTTTTTTTAAGATGTCACAAAACATTTTTTTTAAATCCCGACGCAAGAATATATAAATGAAACGCATACAACTTTCGATACCCTAAACCCTATTTTAGAGAGGGTTCTTTTGACCTTTTCATTTGTATTCAAATCATTAAAAGCTTCTGATATCATGTTCGGCATGTATACATTAGTTAACAAATTAGAAGTGTTTGTGTGTGTCAAGCGACAGGGAAGGGACCATAGGGGCTTGTCTTCCGGATTGATAAATGTAAAATTTTTTTTTTTTAATTTGTATCTACATTAAATACACTCTAAAAGTTGCTTTAATGAAGATTCTGACATGATCAGGCGAGAGTTTATGTATATAGGTGTAGTACTTTTTTTTAAAACATTATTTTTCTCGCCTGATCATGTCAGAATCTCCTAAAGCAACTTTTAGAGTGAATTTAATGTAGATACAAATAAAAAAAAAATTACATTTATCAATCCGGAAGACAAGCCCCTATGGCAGGGACAGGGCGGGGTGCTCACTTCGTATGTTTATTGTATTACTGTGGACATGCAGAAACAATCCATTTTATTATTGGATGAAAAGACACAGAGAGAGAATTTTGTTTTTGTTTTTCTGCAAAGCTGGTGATTTGCTTGGAAATGAATGGTATTATTATTGACAATAAACACCTTCCCGCTTCATATTTACATCTGCCACTCCAGTACAAATTGATAAAGTTTTAAAAAGATAAATTGCATTTGTCTGTTAAAATAAAAAGCAAGAGCACATTGGTCAATACCCCCCAACAACCCTGCCAACACATGCACGTTTCTAATTTGCAACATCTATACAAAATACGCTTATTAAACCATTTTTAAATTTAACATGTGGCTAATGAAAGAAATATATTAAAAATTTATTAATTGAAATAAATTGCATATATCTATTTTTTCCTTTTGTTTAATTTTCTTTTCATTGAGGACTTCACTATTGAAAATTGTACTGAATCTTACTGCCGAAAAAAGTTATTACATTTTGCGTTCTTGCCTTTTGCTTAATCTCGACGCAAAATGTAACAACGCAAAATGTAATAATAAAAAAAATCGTGTTATTACATTTTGCGTTGATCTTGACAAAAAATATAATAACCCAAAATGTAATAATCCACAAATGTGATTTGTTATATTTTGAGTTATTATATTCTGCGTTGATTTCGACGCAAAATGTAATAACGCAAAATGTAATAATCCGGGTTTATTACATTTTGTGTTGTTATTACATTTTGCGTTGTAACAATGCATGTCTAAAATTCAATGGGGCCTATTCTTATACAATACACGACTGTACAATTTTTATAACTCTGAAGGTGGTGCGATTACCTCTAGATCCATGCATGATCATCGATGATTTTTCAAAATAATTAAACCTGATTTCAGGACTTTCATTTTCCCGCTGCGGATAAGGGGAGGTAAACCCATTCCTTTGTTTCCTTTTATGGCCGCCGTTTTTTTCTGTTCAGTAAACGGCGCTCTACAGACGTACGGGATACTCCTACCGAATACTGAGATCCACCACTGGTTCCAGAAGGCAAGGTTCTGTCTTGGTGTGTAAAACAAAAAAGACTTGAATAAAACATACATACAAGTGTACTGTTTGTTTTGCTTTTTTAAAATGACTCATAAAAGGTAACGAACTAGTTTTCAATTTCTAAAGTATTTATACGCAAAAACCTACACAGAAACACTTTTTAAAAAAATATTTTTATTTCGTTTTATTTTTAGGTATTATTTTATTTTTTACGGGGATGTACATTAACATCCGGTCTGACAGTTTGCTGACGTCACTAAGGAGAGAGAAAGAAGGCACATATCAAACTCCAAGAGGTAGTTAGACATAATATTATCTATCTTTATGTTCACTTTTCTGTGGTATATGTACATGCTATATACATATATGTATGTAGTCTGAGGAAAATGCTAAGAAAACTGTATCTTTCTTTTTAAACGAAATTTGAACTGTTTTCCAACTTCAAAGTTAACTTGATTTTTATCCTTACGATTTCTATTCGAGTACGTCTCTGGAGATAAGAAGATGGGGGGAACAAGGCGGGCAGAATGCCTATAGCGTCAGATATCAAGAAATCATATTCAGTATATATGTGAATTGAGTATTTAAATTAACATCTCATTATTGAAATGTATGTAATTTTGAGGAAAAAAGTATTTTCTGAGAGAAAAAAACTCTTTTTTTTTCTTTTATAAACATATTAGATGGTATTCGTGGGATTCGAACCCTGGCAATAAAAAAATCCAACGTATCATATACTATAACTGCCTTGATTAATTGATTGTATGTTGTTTAACTTCCCTCTCTAGAATTTTATCACTCATATGGAGACGCCACCACTTGCCGGTGGAGGGCTACAAATTTTGTCCTATGCCCGGCACTTAGGGCCTTTCGTGCCAGCACCTACTGCGGCACGGGGCCTAGGTTTATACGGTCTCATCCGAAGGACCGGTCTCCACGTCCCTCGGTGGGATTCGAACCTGCGACGTAAGGATTGACTCCTTACTTCGCGACTCTAGAGCAGACGCTCTAACCACTGCGCCACGTAGGCGACTAACTGCTTTGAGACCAACGCGCTGTGCTACACTGCTGAGGATGAAATCAGGCATTTGAATATGCTTTTGATATGTTTTTGTAAACAAAAAAAATGTATATTTTATTGAAAAATTTTAGGATTATCTTTTTAAAAATAGTGATCGAAGACCTACTCATATTGAAAAATTTATGTCAAAGTACGAGAAAATGATCGTTTTTTGTTCTTTTCAGTGATGTTATTTTTTTCATCAAAGTGTACTTTTAATATTAGATGAAATATCAAATAAAATAAATATAATTAAGATAATCTTTTTCACTTCTTATCTGTTGCACTATATAAGCATGTTTTTGTAAGCCAAATAATGTATATTTATCTCTCGTGTGAACTTTTATTTTTATCCCTAGGATTTCTATTCAAGTACGTCTCTGGTGTGAACTTTAATGCAAACTTTTATTTTTATCCTAGGTTTTCTAGGATTCCTATTCGGTAGGATTTACGTCTCTCTGATGCTAACTTTTATTTTTTTAGGTTTCCCTACGTGTCTGGTGTTAACTTTTATTTTTATCCCTAGGATTTCTATTCGAGTACGTCTCTGATGCTAACTTTTATTTTTATCCCTAGGATTTCTATTCGAGTACGTCTCTGGTGCTAACTTCCTGGGAGAAATCGTGGAGTGGATCGGGTTTTCTGTGGCGTGTTATAATCTCCCCTCTCTAGCCTTTGCTGTATTTACTCTCTGTAATATCGGCCCTAGGGCTTTCCATCATCACAGGTACATGTAATATATTAAATATAGAAAAATTCTATATCAAAAAGAATATAGAAATTTAAAAGTTTTTATCGCATTGCGCCCACTTTTAACATTTTACATCAGCAATAAAAGCAATGTACCAATTTCATTTTACACACATCAGTGATCGCTTGATTTAATTTTTTTTGTAGATTTTATCGAGAGAAATTTGATGATTATCCAAAAGACAGAAAGGCTCTGATTCCGTTTCTTTTTTAGGACGGGGTTTCAACCACAGAATCACGGGGATCATGCAATAAATACACTTATATTTTTATACATTTCCAATGAATTTCTAAAGTTATGAAAAAATTAAGAGAAAAAAAAAATATACTGGCGAACTTGATGTGTCTCATTGCAATGAATACACTAACATTTGTATGTTACACTTTTCTCAGAATTTAAAAATTAAGGAGGCTGGGGGTGGGGGGTGGGTGGGGGGGTTGACAAATTAATCACAAATTAACCACCAGATTTAACTTATTTTTTAGATACGGTAACTTAAGCTGTCTACTATCATTCACAAAGAAAAAAATTATACATTTTAGTTTTAAAATTTGATCATTTTCTAGATCTTCATATGGAGCTCTCCTTTTAAAGGAGATAAAAATAGTCTGAAAATGGCTGCCACACCCCAGCCTCGTTAATGAATACAAGGATGGAAAAACTACATGTATGCTGGCGAACTTAATATGTCTCATTGAAATGATTTATTTTTTAGTTAAAGAATATTGCTGAACTCTTTCACGAGCGATTAATGTTATGCATGTTGTTTTATGCACGTTGGGTGAATTTTAACCAGTTCTGATTTTGATTAAAACAATCTCGAAATATAAGGCTAAACATTGTTTTGTTGTTCTTCGAAAAAGTTTTTTTTTCTTTAAACTTTTTGTATTTCTCTAAAAATGTCAACCATTCTATGTTCTCAACTACCCCTGAGCTTAAAGCTCAATTGAACTTTTCTGTTCACCTTTCGTCCGTTGTCCGTCTGTCTGCCTGTCCGTCCGTCCTTTTGTAAATGTTTCATACGTTCATCTTCTTCTCAAGAATTACTGGGTAAATTTTGACCAAAATTGGCACAAATCATCACTGAAAGAAGGAAAGTTTAAATTGTGAAAATAAAAAAACAGAATCCCCCTCCAAGGGCATATAATTTTTTCAAGAACCACTGGACCAGAAAAGTGAAACTTTTCTGCAAGCATCCTTGGGTAGTGAAGATTCTAAGTTGTTAAAATCATGACCCTCGGGGGTAGGGCGGGGCCGCAATAGAGAATTCAAAGTTTACATTAGCATCTACTGTCATATTTCACAAAGTTTTAGAAAATATTTTTCTCAAAAGAAATGAAATAGTATTTTTATTCGTAGAAGATATATTTCTCAAAAGAAATAAATTAGTATTTTTATTGAATTTACGTCAATTGTTTTGTACAGCTTTGCAAGTTTCCTGTTGGTAAGTTAGGAAATTGTTTCAATTAATTCTTTCTCAGTGGTGCACAATCAAAGATCAATTTAATGTGAAAAGTCTTCATAAACCAAAAGAAAAAAAAAATGCTTGATTGTCATTAATATCATTTTATCCTGCTCATATAATTTCTTTGTTATTAATTTTGCTGCACATCGTCATGAGTACCTAATATCGATTTAATTGTATTATTTTACCTCAAAAGGTTTTGTTATTTTTTGTCCGAAGATGCAATTATTATACAAATATGGACTCAATGTAGGTCAATATGCATTTATAATGACCCGAAGATACATGTAGTATATCGACCGAGGGCGCTAGCCCGAGGTCGATATACTTCATGTATCTGAGGTCAATATCTGTCATCCTGGGTCATTATAAATGCATATTGCATTGAGTCCATATTTATTATATTATATAAATAATAATTTCCCAAATTTATTAGTGCACTGTATATCATCCTATTATTTACAGAGATAGTATTAACCATAAATAAGTTGAATGTAAATGTAATCACTCTGTCCGTCTGTCTGTCTGTGTGTCCGTCTGTCATTCTTCCGTTCACAAATTTTCTGTTTTTTCTAATAACTTTTTTTATGGTTGCCTAATCAAGTTCAAATTTGGTATGGTAGTTCAGTAGGCAGAAATACATATTTTGATGCTAAGTTTGGTTCTCTATGTCTTCTGGTTTGGAGATGGGGTGGTGGGGTAGATTCCTTAACTTTATATATGAAAGCATTGGCAAAGAGAAATAACTGCTGAAGATGTTCCCATTATAAACTGAATGCTCCTATGAGTCCCTTGGGATTAATTATCTTTCCTCCCGAAGAAAATCCAGAGCATTATCTTTATCTGTCAAATTGAGTTGAATTGCCACCACTGTCTGCAAATGAAGTTTGTTTTGAAGTTAAGTCAATTTGGAATGCCATGAACACTCTGAAATGTGGATTTAAATATAAATTTTTAAAATTTATTTTTGTTTAATAGTTATGATTTCATTGAAATTCTAATACCAAGAAACAGATTAAAGAAGATTTTTTGATTTACTTTTTTCACTTTAATTTAATTCAAAAATATTATTAATTTTAAGGATAGTTGTATAAAAACCACATTCTATCATTATACTGAAAAAGTTCTTATTGTTACTTAAGAAGAAAAT